CTCCGTTAAAGATGGGAGTGAGAAAGGTAGAAGTTATTGCAGTCCACAAGCGGAGTCAGTGGGGGAAAGGAATCCCCCGCACGAGCCTTCTCATTCCCCTCTTTACTTTTCTCCTATTTTCTTTTTGCAACCCTTCTTCTTCTTCTTCTTCTTCTTCTTCTTCCGAATGAAACGTAACAGAAGAGAAGTTTGGATCTTTCTCTTCCAGTAGTCCTTTCTCCAGTGTCATTTTCTCATATATACTCCCCTCAAGGTCACCAAAGCACTACAATTTCTCTGTCCCCCCATCATCTACTACCGTCTACATTCATCTCTCTCTCTCTCTCCAAGAGCCCTCATCTCTATCCTAGGAGAGAACTAGGACTGAAACAAATTCGTTCTTCTGTTGCTTCGTTTTCTCTCCTTTGTTCTCTCTAAACTAGCTAAACTGGTCCTTCTTCCTAGACCTAGGAGCACTACATGCTCCTTTGTTCTTTAGCACTCCTCATATCTATCAGCTAAGTAGCGAACAGATACAGCACAGGCTCCAAATCCTCACTGTCCCTCTTAGGTCTGCTTCACCCCTAGGAAAACAAGATCCTTTCTGCACTTGGCCTCCATCTATTAGCTCTTCTGTTAAGCAACAGAAGAGAGAGTTTTTTTCCGCCCCCTTCCCTCCCTCTCTTTCACCCTCTCTTCTTATCTCTGAATCACTTTTAATACATTTACTAGGAAGTGACAGCTAGAGTGGATCTAAATGTGCAATTGCAGTCGGCCATCCAGCAGGGAAGTAGTAGAAAAGTAAACAGAAAGGAGGAGAGGGAATAGAAATGCCAGTCGAAGAGGTCCTCATGGAAGCTATCTCCACCTCGTCGCCGGATCTCTCCTTGCACATCAGCCCCCCGAACGCTGCTTCCTCCTCCTACGCCGACGCGGGAATCGGCGCTGACCACGACAAGCTTCACCGGGAGATCCGCGCCGTCGAGTGGCACACAGGCGGCGGAAACGAGGCGTACACCGAGCTCTCGCTCTCCTATCCTTCGGCTGTGTCGGAGGCCGAGAGCCCGTGGCGGCAACAGAGGTTATCGGTGCAAAGGTCGCCGCTGCCATTCGACCACTGCCACAGCAACCAGCGGGCGCTCGAGGGCTTGATGGATGGCTCGAGGCCGATCAAAGGCATCCCGATCTACAACAACAGTCCCTTCCCTTTCCTCCATGTCGATCCCAAGATTGGGATATACAACCAGGTCTCATCCTATTCTCCTCAATTGCCCTCCTCCCTGTGCTTGTCATCGTCACCCTCTCCACCGACCTGCTCCCCGCCAGCCTCATCGTCCAATTTGGGGACGATCGCGTCGTCCTTCTTCAACCCGGTCGGCGGTGTCTCGGGATACCATCGACTGCCCACTCCGCCGACGAGGCTCAACGGACTCTCATCACCCGACCTATTGATCAAGAACCAGCAACAGCAGCAGCTCTTCCACCCCCAGCAACAGCACTACCACTACAACAACCAGTATGGCATCGGATCGTTCGAGGCCTCGCACAACATGATGAGGTCCAGGTTCATGCCGAAGCTCCCAGCGAAGCGCAACATTCGCGCACCGCGAATGCGGTGGACCAGCACGCTCCATGCGCGCTTTGTCCATGCCGTGGAGCTCCTCGGCGGCCATGAGAGTATGCCACGGATGTCTTTCTCATTCAATACTACTTTGATGTGTTTTCCTTATATATATACACATATGTTCAGATATATGTAAATCGATCGTAAGAAAATTAGTCCGAGAGATTAATCGTGGTTGACATGTATGTTCTCAGGGGCAACCCCCAAGTCAGTGCTGGAGCTCATGGATGTCAAAGACCTCACTCTCGCTCATGTCAAGAGCCATTTGCAGGTATCATCTGCATAATATTGTTGGTTACTTACGGCTAAGACTGCCCTCTGTCCTCTCTCTTCTCCCTCGTTTCTCCTGTCATCGTTTCTTAGTACGGCCGTTTTCTCTGTGAGAAGCAGACACATCTATTCTCTCATTCACTCATTCATTCAGTCATTCATATCTCTGCGTCCATCGGCTACTGTGCCAAATTCACGAGACAGTGGAGAGAGAAAAAAAAGTTGTCATCATTTCACAATGATGCAAACTCTCCAAACTTAAACCTCACACAAAGCATCAACCTCGTGGTTAAAGGGTGGGGAGAACCCATGAAAAGAAGATCCCTGCAAACAAAGAATAGATCCGGTCACTTGGATTGCAGTTAGGTCTAATTCTTGCATATTTCTTTTCCTTTCCTTTATCCTCTTTCCTCTACTGTCTCGTGAACTCACTTCCTCTTTTCCTCTACGGTGCCACTTACATCCTTCTTTCTCTTTCTCGGCTGATCTGTGCAATTGCTCTACCCTTGCCTCTGCAGATGTATAGAACTCTGAAGACCACTGACAAGCCCCCAGGTAATTCATATTGCTTGGCCCTTGTGAGCTCTCTTCCGTTTCTTCTGCTCGGACGCCTTAAACGTAAGGGTTATCTGCATTGTTCGAAGGTCAATCGGATGGCTCCGGTGAAGAAGATTTCGCTGCAGGGAACCCCGATCTTAACTTCCGACAACTCATGGAGCAAAGAGCGTCGGATGGGACTAAACCAACTCAAGATTTGGACTTCCCTCCCAGCATTACCAACACCACTTCTCGATGGAGTAACTCATCAAGGCAAGCCTACAGTTTCTCGCTTTGTTCTCTTGATCTTTTGCAGTAGGTGTACTATAGCTCCGCATGATATTGGGGTTTCGTTTACCGGGATCCACTGCCAAGGACATATACCTGAAACAAAAGGGGGAGGGGTCTCATGGCAGCTTTTGCTTTTGTCCCCCCCTCTCCAGTGTTTGAGATCTCACTGGGAGAGAATGGTACTCGTGAACTTGGAGGCCATGTTTGCAAAGACAAAGCAAGACAACAACAAGTTTGGACCTCACGATCAAGTTCTAAGATCATATCAAGTAACATTCTACTTTCATCGTGGCCAATCTTCACGCACGTTAGTGACAAGATTATCCTGACAAGAGACCCTACTCAGGCTATCCCAGCAGCTGATGTATGTTGTCAGATAGGAAAAGAAAACCCTATACATCTTGTCTCCAGCATCCTTCTCTCTTCAGCTTTATTGCGTTATCCTACAGTGGCATGTTAATGGTTCTCGAGCTCTGCTTTGACCTTTTCCTTCTTCTCGATGCATGGCTGTGATTCCAGATACGTGCTTTGAACTGACGTGCCCTAATATCTACAAATAGTTTGTATTCTTCAGGTGTAGGCCAAGCAAACACTCATCCTTTTTCTTCTCTCCTTCTTTGCCAATTCCTATCGGTTTTCCTCCAACCCGCCTTGAATTTGTACAAGAGCTTTTCCTTCACTCTACTGAATAAAGTTTGCGTTCATCAACATAGCTACTGTAGAACTTTACATTATATCTCATCGCTCATTATCACTACTATGAGCTCCTTCATTATTCTTCTCCCCAGTTTGGCTCATCTCTCCTACTTTCAAGTCTCAGCAACCAGTTACTGGCCTTGTTCTCGCTATCTCTTTCCATTTGAAAATGAAGATTTTTGATCCTATTTAAGCCGAGTTATGGAAATATATATGATCTCACAAATGTGGAATTCATCTCATTTTTCTCAACACGATCGTGAAAATGCTTTAAGCCACTTTGTTGTGGCTTCATGGTATGAGTTTTAAGGAGAAGAGAGGCCCATGATGTTAGAAAGGTCATTTGTGTCTTACGGATGATTCCTAAGCACATTTCTTGATGAATTAGCTATTGATCAAAGAGGAAAAATTAAAATCTCAGATAGTTTAGTTTCTACTATTTGCATTTTAAGTTTAGTTTCATATATGTGATTTTGGTGAGAGAGGCAGGAAATTTAGTTTATAATTAACAGCTTCATAGATATACATTTGAGACAGCATAAATATGACACCGAAAACTAATGCTTATATATAATATACATGACAATTTGGTTAGGCCATGGTGGAACATTCGACTCGACATTCTCAAGAATACAGTGCCATGAAAAATGAACGATCATAAATTACTAATTACTGAGAAAATATATAAACGCTTTTGCTTGATTAAACTCTCATAGTTTCATTAGTTATAACTTTGTGAATTGTATTTCTTTCAACAACGAGATGATAAATAATACCAAATACGATCCTCAAAATGACAACAAGCATGCCGTCGTCTATGGTAATTAATTGATTCTTCTTTATGGATGCCAAATTAATGTTTTTTGTTTCTGGAATTTATTATTATCTTCAGCAGAAGTGCATGGGAGCAACCGAGTGCAGGTGATGGAATTCGGCCATCAGAGTTCTCCTCTGATATTGAGGTTTCCTCGCTACCTTTTTATTCCATCTGTAACGACGCATGCAAAACCTCTCTCTCTATCTCTCTCTCTCTCTCTCTGGAGATGAAAAGTTAAAGAAGATAGATCGAGTGAGGTGACTGTGGATTCTTGGGGTTTGCAGGATGGAGATACTTATCGATCCAATGCTTCACAAGTAGCTCATCTAGAACACAAAAACCCTAGTTTGGAGTTTACATTAGGGAGACCGGACTGGGATGCGACGGAGCACGTTTGATGCTATGCGATAGGGTGAGTTGATATGTTGGTCCACTGTTACTGCTACAGGGAGACGAAGAGGTACGGAGGTTTACATGGATCAGTAAGCGTGAAGATAGACTGAAGCAATGTAACTCCTGCTGTACTACGAATTCTTCTCTTTTCCTTTTCTCTTTTTGTGTGAACACTTTAGTCGTGTGCATGGGATGACTAAAGCTGAAGTAGTTGGTGATGGTAGGAAGCTGTCATTTACATGCACGAGGAAAAGTAAAGCTGTTCTTGTGAGGCAAGAGCATCATATTCTTGCTTTCCTCGTTTCCAGAATGTTGTCAATGGTCGAATGTGAAATCTTTGATCTACGTATGCCATACTCTGATGCCATGGAAATGGAAATGGAATGGAATGGTTGTGTGATTCAAAAATCATACTATTCACGATGGTATCTACCGAGGCATACTATTGCACCGAATGTTTATATCCATATAGCCCCGAACAGTGGATGATGCCTAAGGTTTTTACATGCTGAGGACTTATTATTGCAGGTGTTTGGATATACTGTTTCCTAATAGCTTGAGCTCTTAAAACTTCTTATCATCTGCTCGAGTCTTTGATATGATATGAGAGCGCCTAATAATGAGTTCCAAGTCTTGGACTTGGGCTTCGGTCATGCAGCGCTAAGATAGAATGGTAGAGAGGTGAATAATTGGATAGACAGATAAATACGTAATAAATATTTGGATAATTGAGGCATAGAATATATGGTTGTCCCCCTCATGTGCAAGCCAGATTAGGTTTGGGTGTAAGACATTTAGAGAAAAGGATATTATTTAGGATTTTTTTTCATTTGTAGCCCCTTTTTTGCTATTTACAATCTAAGATTAATATTTGTAAATTTTCTTTTACTATTTATAATCTCATTTTATTTTTTTATTTTTAAAATTAAAGTATTTATTTATAAATGGACACAAATATTCTCTTTTTTTTTTCTTCTCATCCTTCTTTTCTTTTTCTTCCTTCTCGAACATTGATACGGGACGAGCAGGACGACATCAAAATGATATTAGTGAGGATGAAATAAAGGGCTATGGGGAACAAGAAAAGAAGATAAAGATAAAAACGATAATACTAGGACTATAAATAGTAAAATAATATTTTATTATTTTTAAAAAAAGTTATTAGTAGTAAGGAGATTGTCAATAGTAAAGAGGAGGCTACGACCAGTAAGCTTCCTTTATTTTAGTAAGCAAATAGACATAAATAGTCTCATCATCTTCTCAGTTTTTTTTCTTATTTCTTATTTTTCTCCTTGTGAGCGATGAGCGACAAACGATATCAGATGACATTAAATGGACATAAATACCCTCATCATCATCATCATCATCATCATATTGTTGTTGTCATCGTCTTGGTCTTCTTCTCCATCTTCTCTTCCTTTTATTGCTTTTTCTTCTTCTTCTTCTATCACTTTATCTTTGCTTACCTAGTGGCGAGTGAGCGATGAGCGACATTAACGATGTTGGTAGATGGAGTAATGGGAAGCAACATCAACATAACTAAGGTTCTGATGGATAAAATAAGGGGTTGTGAAAGTAAAAATATGATTAATAATTGAGAGGTTGTAAAATTGATTATTTTTGACCAAAACATCTCCTCAGATTTAGTGCATCCTATCTAAATTTTTCCATTATGATCATCTCAATCAAAATATCTCTCATACTATATGCATCCACCTCGAACAACAGTATTTTGAGTATCTATTAACTATTTTGATCCAAGTGAAAATATTTAAGACTCTAACATGACCATTATACACCAAAGAAGAGTTCAATTTATAGCATAATGGAAGAAAAAAAAGATATAACTAAATTTTTTATCTAATTAGGGATTTGACACATAGAGCCTAATGAATCAGATCGACGATACATCAGCCAAGCCTACCCATCAACATTGATATAATTTTAAAAACTAATGACAATATTGAGGATTATGTTCAGGTTCATTTTAGTTCATGTAGTTTTGGTCATAGTTTTTTTAAGTTAGTATGGTTTACTTGTATCTAAAATAACTCATACATTTTTAAAAAAACGTAATATATAAACTCCTCCCATCAAGTTTAAGTTAATAAATGTTAGAATCTACTTACGTGATATGCTGACTCATTGTAGAAGATATAACTTATAAGGTTTGGTAGTACTCATCGGGATCGTGGTGGGTGACGTGGTGGCATGCACCCTGGAGTTGGGAAGCTAGATCTATTAGATGTCACTTACCAACTCTAAGTAAATGGACTCTAACGTCTGTTAACTTAGACTTGACGAAAAAAACTTATATACTATGTTTTTAAAAAATATGAATTATTTTATATACGAGTAAAACATAACGAAGGCTCATGATCAAAACCACAAGGGTTAAAATGGATCACCTAAACCCTTGAGGATTTGGTCATTGGACTTCGACATGAACGAACAGTTTTAAAAGATAATAAAGAAGATGATTCAAATAATATAAGTAATCAAATATATAATAACCAAACTAATTGATTAGACATCTAAAAATAAATTAGCCTAATTAACCTAAGATCGATTTATTGGGTATATCACCATTGGAGTAACAATGTGGATTAAAAATTATGAATAAGGGGAAATAATTACATTACATTATATAGATACGATGTATAGTGACTCTTCTCTAACATTGTTTATAATAACGGTGTTTCCTTTTTATTTAGACAAAAATACTCTCACATTTTTACTAAAATGACTCGATCACATATGTTATAAAAAGTCTTTAATTTTAATAAATAATTATTATATTTATATTTTAAAAAAGTAAAAAAATAATACTAATTATCTTAGAATCATATTCCAATAATTTTGTGAAATTTTGAGTTGGCTTAATAAAAGTTGATCAAGTTACACTCGATAACAAAATTAATTCAAAAAATATTTAATATTGATAATTAATTATTATAAAAAATTTCAGGTAAAAATAAATATGAAAGTGCCGTCCGATTAAAAGCCAATAATAAAGATTTGTCCCTTCAAAATTTCCCAATCAAAAGAGGAGGTCGATAGAACGCGTTGACAGGTCGGAGTGAAAGACCGGTAGAATAATTCATTTCGATAATATCTGCACATTGCAACGTCGATAAAAAAAGCTGCAGAGTCCGCTTTAATCTCTCGCGCGCGCGCTCTCTCTCTTACACACACACACACACGCGCACAGTTGGAGATGGCGGCCTCCGACGAGGGAACGAAGAGATCCGACGGCGGAGGCGAGACGCTCTGGTCCGTCCTCCTTGACTTCGTCGCCAGCTTCGTGTCGCTTCGGCCCGCCATCCTCCGACGAAGCAGGCCCTCCTCCGCCAAGGCCGCCTCCCGCCGCAGGGAAGATTCCAGAAACCCCGTCCGATATCTCCTTCTGTGGACCCGTCGCCGCGGTCCCCTCCCCGCTCTGTTCGGCATCTCGGTTCGTGGATTTCGTAGATCCTTCTTCGTGTTCGATCACTTTGTGTATCTTCGAAATGGTCCAACTAAATAACCTAAGAAACTGGTCTCTGTTAGGTATTTTGGATCCGAAAGTTAACAACATCTTTGATGAGAAACTGTTTGGAACTATCATACGTTTCGCCCCCGGGGACGATATTGGGTGACTAGTGACTTAATTAACTTGGTCAAGCGGTGTCGAAAGGTATCAGGGCGCTGAAAGGGGATTGTGTGTCGTAGAGAACTCAGCTTAATTTCATATAATTTTCGGCATGAGAAGCTCAGTACTGTTAAATGACTCCTTGGGAGTTTTTAATTTGAGTAGCTGAATTCTTTCTCATCATGGTCTTATGATCCTTTTCTTTTATTTTTTTGTTCTTCCTCGCCCTTTTGATTGGAACCTCTGTAATTATTTGACTGTCATACTTTAAAGGTACTTTATGGGCATGGCCCAGCCATCTTTTCCATCTTTCATCTCGTATGGTCATTATCTCCAACTTACTAGCTTTTTCCTTGCTTTTTGTGTAAAAGGGCACATCTTCTTTGCAAAAGCTTATAGGAAATTGATTCTTATGCTCAATTCTTGAGGACTAATTATTAGAGCTATAAGTAGGTGGCACAACGCAGCACTAAGATGGATAAGGAAGGTTGAATGATAAAAGATTGTGGCTACTTACTATATTGTTAAAGTGATATGATGACAATTAGATGTGCCGATCCAATCTTTGCTTGAGATTATAATCAATTGATCTTTTAATGCACTTTTCTCTGACTATTGACAATTTACCTGATGGGAGTGTATCACTTTGATCATTAATTTTCAGTCTCTGTATTATCGTGTCCTCATGGTCTATGTCGGACTTAGTAGTGAGAGGAGTTAGTGACAACAGTGTAGCAGGGATTAGGCAAGATGTGTGTGAGGTCTCTTGTCGCTGCTCAATGCAGTAAGGACAGTAGTGGCAATTGGCTTCTTCGGAAGTTCAGTGCTATCTTATATCATGTTATCTGTGGTCCTAGGAATGAGGGTGGTGGTGGAGTCTGCACATGGAAGAACTTAACACAACCTCAATTGAAGAGAAAGGTTGCTCACAAGGTAAGTATAGGATTAGTGTCGAATTGTAGCGTATGGTGCTGAAAAGCAACAGTATGTATGTTGTGAAATGTGAATCTTGATGAAAGGTATAGGTTTTTTTAAGGAGATATGATAGGAGCCCTTTTATACTGTAAGATATGAATCTTGACGAAAGGTTGCTCACAATGCAGTATTTGGTCTTTTGAAGGAGAGGCATTAACATCCATTAATGAAAGGATAGGAGCTCTTTTATCCTGTAAGATACAGTATGGACAGTCATGTTATTTGGCTTCTCTAAGAGTCGCTGGCATCATATTTCGTGCTTCTGTTGGTCCTATGAATGAGGGTGCTGTCGGAGACTTAGTTGAAGAAGTTAATGCAAATTCAATAGAATGGAACAGTTGGCAACAAAGTAAATATGTGTACAATGCTGATTAGTAGGTCAAGTTATTCGAAAAGAAAATATATGGATGCAGGGGACCTTGCGCTATTTGGTATTTTGGAGTGAGGCGTTGGCAGTCGTCGAAGAATGAAAGAAGTTTAGTGTAGGGGTGATTCCATCATGACTAAGAAGCATACATTTATAAGGCAGTTGGAAATATGCAGGGTTAGAAGCCCCGTCTTACAAAGTCACTCTCAAGTGGGCATTGCTGTGTGAACTTTGCAAAGGCAAGAAGGGAATGCAATTTAGTCAGAAGATGAAGCAGAAAAGATAATTTATCCACACCTGCACTAGAAGAACGAGAGGTCAGGCTCAGAAGTTGAAAATCTGTGTATTGTCTGTTGGGATATGATAGACGATGAGAAACTGTCAAATGGGTTCCCGTTAACAACTGAGCTGATTTCCAAGTAAAAAGTTTATATCATATGCTCCAAGTTTCAGATCCTAATTATTCCAAACCATAGGCTTTTGATTGTGCCCGAATGCGAGTTGCAGCAAACACTTTCAAATCATCAAATATTTTGATGTTTGTTTATTTAACGATTGCATCTTGTGAGGAATTAAGATTCTGGGCCAGAACTAGTGATCAAAATGTTATCTTATTGTCTTTTCACTACTTTCTTTTTTAGCAACTTGCATGCACCAGTCAGTTCAACTGTTTTCTCTCACAAACTTTGGACAATGGCCACTTTTGGTCAGCATGATTGAACATTTCAACATTAGATTGGATGTCTGGAATGTCTGACATTTTGCCATAGGATTGTCAAATGAAAAACACTTATAGTTCTCTTTTCTGTATGGCAGGTTGGGACAATCACTCTTTTGGCATTGGCAGGGTTGCTGATTTCTCTGTTTATATTGGTTGCAGCAACATTAAATATTATCATTGTCTCCTTTCAAGTGTCCTTAATAGCTGTTGGAGGATTTTTATCAATCTTTTTTGCAAGCATAACAGCAATTTTTATCGGAGCAATACTATCTGCAATATTTGTAATCTCCACCACAACCATCTCGGCAATAATTGCTGTTATGTTAGCCGCTGGTATGTAATGATTTCTTATTTTTATTCTCATTCTAGTGTCTTACGGTTTAAGGGAGCTGTATAGGTTTCAACATGCTTCCTTTTTCACTCCTGCAATTTATGCAGTCTAAGCTAAATAACAAACATGAGGTGCAAACTCTCCTGATCTGATTCTTTTTGCAGCGTATTCTTAATATGCTAAAATTGGCACCTGGTAATACTGGCTTCATCGACCTGAGGATTTGTCACTTTCAGATATAAGTTCCATAATGACATGCTTGCTTTGTTATGGCACAACAAAGAGAGTCTTGCCCAAGTTTCATACTTCACATGCTTTCATGGCCTGTGCATTTTTAATGATCATCCACCAAGTTAACTTGCATCTTATTTGATAATGGTTCCTTTAATTCTTCCCATGTACATGACTGATTCCCACTTATTTTCTTCTTTTCTTTGATATTTAACTCCCTCCTTTATTGCACAGTTAATAGGACAGTTATTTAGTGAGAGTTTGCTATCTATGAGTTGTCAAAATGTTACCTTAATATTCTTCATTTTTAAACAACTTATATATAGTCTGTTGGTGTCTAACCTCCTACAAGAGGTTCATTTCTTGAACAGGTTTGTTTCATTTAGTCCTTTTAAGTAGTTGTAAAAGAGAGAAGATCCAAATAAGGAAAATCTTTTTGGTTTGGTGTCTTTTGAGTTTTGTTGCCCATTTGGCTCAAACATGCATCTTTCCTTATAACTTTCTAGTACTTCATCCAGACAACAAAGAAAATTTTCTAACATCTCTCTACATATCAGTTTATGTTGAGTTTATTGTCTCTTTAGAGGCTTGATATTTCTAGCTCGAATATTCATTATTTGTATTTTTTGGTGGTAATTTTCCAAAAGGTAGTTCTTACCAATTTAATACTGCAATAGGATGTATGAAGCTTTTCCTATGGTTTGTTCTATTGGTTCATTATAGACATGGAAAGAGGGACTTATTACATGTTGCCAAATAATCTTATTCCAGGGTCAATTTGGATTGTTTGATATATCAAATGTTGCCAAGCTAAGAATGAATGACAACAAATTCTTAAACTATCGAAATAGACACACAGATATTCTAGATGATGTTTGTATCTTCTATAATCTTTCTGGTTGCAAGTAATTAGTCAATCATGCTAATTTATATGTTACAATTGTTGGAGAATGTAGCTAATTCCTATGTGAAATAAAGGGTCAAAGGATAAAGAAGAAAGAAGGCAGGTGCCAAATGGTCGATATGGAGAACTTTTGATTACAGAACACAGAAACAATTATAAATTTTCCATTAGAAAATCTCTTTTTGTTATTGTTTTTTTGAATTTTCTGTAATTTGACCTGGGTAAAATGTTGAAACTTTGTGCTGTAGGATCGATTGGGTTCTTCTGGATTGTTATTGTTGCTGCTAGGAAAAGCATGGACCTTACCAGGCACTCTGTAAGCATCACCAGCTCTGCAATATCAGCATATTCATCTGCTTGGCAAGCAAGATGGATGAATCTTCAAAGTCTAAAGATGCAAGTTTACTGATTTAACCATCATGCCTATCCAGCGAGTCGACTCTTGTGGATCTTGGACATGTATGACTCCATGGAAGAACTCATGGATCTTGGATATGTATGTCTATACGTGTTTCCGTCTTTGGTGTTCAACTATGCATAGTGTTTATTTATCCAGTCTCAAATAGTTGGAACATTACGAATAATATTGATTTTGCACATAAGCCTTTTAAAAAATCATTGTCAATGCTATGATAAATTAGAGGGTCTTACAATATTAATGCCACTCTTCTAGCTTGACTTTGGCTTTTTATTAGTTCTACACCACTGGAGAGCAAATTGAGACAGCTTATTTAATTGTTTTTGGAATCTCAAGAGTAGTAATCATGGAAATTTTGTTTGTTGACTTGCCTGCAAAGCTGGATCTCATCATATACTGCTTCAGTACTTGATACTCCCTTAGTCTTGATGTATTTATTCTATAAATACATACAGTATTTATAGAATAAACAAATCGTAAATCGTAAATAATTTCTATAAATATTTGAATTCCTAATCCTCCATACAATTAGAACACCAAACAAATAATAAACACATCGGAACCTACAATGAGATGAACATCGATGTGCCATCAATTCTACTACAGTCTCGACAAAGATGACCACAACCCCATTCAACAGATTTTATTCGGCCGACAATTACAATTAACCAAGAATGGATTTCGATCGTCAAAGTCGACGGTGACATTTGTCCGAAAGACTGGAGGGTGATTAGCGTGGATGAATTCTATTTCAACGAGCAATTCCTCCATGATGAGTTGCCCACATCAGCCTGTCTCTCTTAGTGCATGATGGGGTTGAAACGAAGCCATGTGTTCCTCAATAATGCTGTGATCGGCTGCCCACTTCTAGAGAGTACTAATTGGTTGGGACACCCCTTCAATCATGCATACGAAGAGCATGACTTTGTGGGATGTAATTCCATGATCGCACTAAACCTAACTTTCTTTATGTCCATTATTAGTCCCCATTTATCCCACCTTTTGATGATCGCCTAGAATCTTCTCTACACTTTTTTTTTTTTTCTCTAATGTTGAATTGGAGGATACAAAATCAAGATTTTCTTTCTCTGTAATTTATTTGTATCGGCATCGATAAGTATTTAAAGATTATTCGTCGAGACTGTATCTTATAAAGATAAGAAATTCTTATAAATATAACAGTATATAAGAAGAACATTGGATGGGTGAGAGTAAAGAATTCAAGGGTTTTATAAATAGAAAGTGTCGAATCACGTTAATTTTACATAATATTCCTGATATATCCTATAATTGCTAATTTTGGAATTGGTTCTTCTGTTCCTCCCCCCATTTTGCACCAACAAACGTTGAGTTGTCAATTCATTCGATACTGTTCGAGTGACGAAGAAATAAAGTCAATGGTGTCGAGTTCATCAGGTATTCATCCGGAAGAGAATCTCTGGACCTTCGATGAAAACGGTGGTCAGGAGGTGTGCATCTCCTGTGGTTTGGTGTCGTGTTTTTGACTTTTTTTTTCATTGGGTTGACTTCCGGGATGGTCGACTTGGCACCATTTCTTTGACTGTGGAATCATGTTTTACTTCTCTGCCAAATAAACACATGATCGAATTACTTCTATGCGAACATATTGGTGTTCTACTCTGATTGATTTAATCCTTGCTGTTAATGACTCGGTCCTGTCAAATCTACAGTTTGTCAAGTTCTATCGGCCACAAATTGTGAGACACTGAACAGGAGAAAAGACTGTAGGAACATTCTCCACTTTGCCTTGGACTGTTATCTCGAGAGTTGACAATCAATCAATGGCTCGGAGAGCACCTTATATGTGACACCAATTTGCTATCTTCCTCCCCCAACTCGCCAAACTACAACTTGGTCGTGCTCGATTTGTCCCACTCTCTTTCTATTTCTGGAGTACCCTCCCATGTCCTGCTCCCTTCTCCGAGAAGCTTGCCAAAAGAACACAACTTGCAGAAGCACGCCGGTTTCTACATCTCGCTTGGCTTAGGTTGGTGACGGATAAGCTCCTTGCCACTCGGACGACAGCTGCTTCAAGCTCGCATGGCTTTGCTCGATGGTGCAACCTACGGTCAAATGGACACGTTCAAATACAAGTGAGTTCGAGAACACGGCTTTGCCTGCGTTGTATTTTTTGCTGATCCTGATCGCTTCTTTCTTCAGAGTGTTTGTCAGCACATGGAACGTGGGAGGGATCTCGCCAACTGATGATCTGAACTTGGAGGACTGGTTGGACACCGATAGAAGCTCTTACGACATCTATGTTCTCGGGTATCTCTCGGACACTTGGTCTTTCCCCACGATCACCTCATGCAAAAGATAACGTTGCAGGACCCTGTTGTAGGTTCCAAGAGATAGTACCACTTTGCGCCAGGAACGTCCTCGGTCCCGAGAAGAGTAAGATCTCCACGAAGTGGAATTCGCTGATAGGAACAACCCTAAACAAGTCTGAACCAGCTCGCTACCAGGTGTACCACGTCGAAGAAGGCGGCTATCGTGGGGTGAGCAATCGCCGAAAGTTCAGATGCGTTATGAGCAAGCAAATGGTTGGAATTTTTGTCACACTATGGGTGAGGGATGATCTTTCTAACTACATTAGCTACCCGAGCGTCTCATGCATCGGTTGTGGCATCATGGGATGCCTAAGAAACAAGGTAAACTGTTCCTTCTTTTCTTCCATGGAAGCAGCTAGCTAGCTAGCAGTAGTTCGTGTGACGGAGAACTGAAACTTTTCAGCTGTGCGCTAAGCATGCAGGGTTCCGTGTCCCTTAGATTTTGTTTGCACGAAACCAGCTTCTGTTTTGTATGCTGCCATTTGGCTTCCGGAGGGAAGCAAGGCGATGAGGTGCATCGCAATGCAGATTTCATGGATATACTGTCGAGGACCCGCTTCGGCAGTGATTCTTCTGTTGATTTGCCTAAGAAGATTCTTAATCACGAGTGAGTACAACCCCAATCCTTCTCTCTTTTTTTCTTGGTTCTTTTGGTTTAGAACAATTGCTTTGTAGCTTGTGGATCCATCCATTTGGCATATAGCATTCCGTTAAGAGCGATGTCGCAATTCATGCAGCCGTGTAGTGTTGTTTGGAGATCTGAACTATAGGATCTCGATGACAGATGGCAAGACGAGGTCACTGGTGGAACGAAAGGAGTGGGGCGTCCTGTTAGATAGAGACCAGGTACTACTTTTACCCAACACATCTACAGCTGACATGACCAGTGCTTCTTAACCAGGGACTCTTGTTTGTTCATCTGCAGCTAAGATTTGAGTTATCTGAGGGACGAGCATTCGATGGTTGGAACGAGGGTGCGATCACATTCTCACCTACTTACAAGTATCTTCCGAACTCTGACGAGTATTGCTGGCATGCTCAGGGAAGGAAAGGCGAAAAGAGTCGTGCTCCTGCATGGTGAGATCAGTGAATCATAATTCCCGCGTCAGATCTCGACAACTGAGTGGAACGAAATGTGACGTGCCTGCTGGTTTTTGCAGGTGCGATCGAATACTGTGGCTGGGCGAGGGACTGAAGCAAAACCGATACGAGCGATGCGAGTCGAAGTTATCAGACCACCGAGCGGTGCGAGCAGTCTTCACCGCGGAAGTCGACGTCCTGAAGCTTATGAACCCTTTGGATGGATTCTTTTTGTCGCATAACCTTGATGATATCGTTGATATAACACGTCGAATGGAAGAACAAATTTGATCACCCGTGCATTCTTCTTCGCCTTTAGATGTATTATACGCAACGGGGAGACTGTTTCATCGACTTTGATCGATGTTAAAATGATTCTAATGTGTTTGGAGCAACTTGCACAAAGAAATATGATCTCTTCTAAAGATTGCAGTCAACACATATCCATTCTGATTCTTTTCGAGATAATATCGGAAGCAGCAGAATCAACAAATTTGATTAAAATATCCAATGCATTTATCAAAGACGTCAAAGTCTTCACCCATTGGTTACGTAATACTTCCAAGAAATTTGAATTGTTTTGAATGATTGCTGGAACTATTGAGTTGAAATTGAGTAGATTCCATTGGAATCCTAACACGAAGGCAAATAAACTTCATCAAGAAGCAATTAAGAAGCATAGCTAATCCATCCTGTTAAGGTTTCTTCACGAGACTTCCAAAAGCATGTAACCGATCCTTTGGCATCATGAACAGTGGACCCACTAAGCTTGTCTGCCGCATCCTTCTCGAGCTTCGTTGCAAACGTGTCTTGGACTAGCTCGGTCGAACACCAGCACTCTGAAACTGGAACCAACGACTTGATCCGTCTTCTTCGATCGACCCACGCCAAGGATAAACATCAGACTTTAATGGCGCTGCTCCAGTCGTTGGAAGAATAAAGATTGTGGCTGGGCATCTCCACAGTTCGCAGCTCGTCAACGTCTTCCACCTCCACAAGCTACCAAAAGCATGAAGAAAACAACGGAAGTTGACATGTCGATGCACCTGCGCTTGGCTTGTTGAAGGAGGAGATCATTTCCTTCCACCTCCATGTTCATGGAATCAAATTTGTGGTGGAGGAAAGGGTCTGAGATTTGCATCTACCTACCGACTTTAAGGTGGGGTTCTCATCCCGCTTACATCTCTTTCCCCGAATTTATTTTGTGGCCATGAATCAGTAGTGCTGGCACCTAAACATGAAAACGATCACTGTGCACGAGACATGATTCACACGGTCATCATGCCTTTTGATTTCTAGGAGGCCACTCAAAGTTGTGGCTGAGGTTGGTCTGTGGGTCAGCAAATAGTCTGACTAATAAAACTCAATTATGACACAACAACTTTACTGTAGTAAATGAAATTAAAGATGTTAGAAGAATATGTAAACTTGATTCAACACTTGTCGACGATACGGGGACACGACTTGATGATACATCGTATTCGCTTGATCGTAAGTCATACTCATGTGATCGATACATTATCCAAATTACTGTGCTACAAACTCAATATTACAATGCCAACAGGGATTTTGACTTTGTGCTAACGAGGGAGCCTACATGATCGAGACAACGTCTAGAAATCTAACCTTATAATCATAGTTTTGATGATTCGAAGACATATGCTCTTATGGTTGAATAATGATACGACAACCCCATTAATCGTTTTCGACATTAATCATGATCTATGTTCAACGATTGACCTAGCACACTATAAGGACCACCAAGTGCATATAATTTTCCTATTATATTCTTCAAACCTAATACTAATTTAGGCATCTAAATGACTTTTGTTGGACATGTTCTCCCTATAGTTTTGCAACATTGTCTGCCAAAACCCTTGTCTTCTCAATACTACGTCTCGTGATAAGTGAGAAAATAGTGTTTTCTAAAGAGTTATGATTAACTAAGTTTACATTAGGTGTCAGTTTTGTTCTTTTGTGATTCTAAAAGAAGAAATGAAGTTTTGTAAGAGATGAGAATGAGTTGTGTTGAAGGTTTAATTTTGATAATGTTTTGTTATGATAAACACATATTCCACCACTTTTGAAGATAAATAAATCATTTTAGCACAAGCTGATAAATGACAATTTTGAAGCAATTGACATTATCCACCATTGGATTCCCAAACTCATTGATATACTAATAGATAAACATATACTAACACTCCCAGTGACCTCAAATGGTCTTGTAAATTGAGGTAAGACTGAGCCTCAGATTAGTACCTCTTTTATTAAGGTCCATTTGAGCCCTCAGTTATTTGTGAATCTTGATCAAAGAATTCCAGTGAATAAAGGGGATTCTGGCATGATTGAGATCGAAGCAATCTTATCAAGCAATTGGCAGATAGAAAACTGAGATCATAGCAACTCATTCCTCTGGTGAATGGTTATCTTTATTTACATTGTGATCTAATTAGTGCCCATTTAGCTATAATGTGACAGCCATGAGAAGCTATACTTCATGTGCAGTCTGATTAGTCTTCTGAATTCATCTTCTATGGCTTCTCTACTTTCTAAGGAATGCATTTATTTATTTACCGTGTGATTTATGAAAGAGAGAGAGAGAGAGAGAGAGATTCATTTGCCTTGGTGGATAGCAATCTTGGCTTGCTTTGAATCTCATTCACTTTTTAATATTGTTAATAACAATTTAGCATATCTAATGCTGGAATTTATGTGATTGTAACATAGCTTCATTTGGGACTATACGTTGTCATTGTAGCAATATCATTATATCTGGACTTGCTGGTATTCTCCAAAACATAGTGGATTTAGAAATGCCTTTGTTTTTTGTGCTTTTGTTAGGGTTAAAAGTTTTTCAATGTGTTGAATGGATATTTAGCTTCAAGATGACATTACTTGAGCAAGAATAACCAAAAAAAATTGTGGATTTTGTCCAGCAATACTTGGCATTCCATCTTCTCTTTTCCACAAATCATTAGTGCACAAGCACTACTGATTGGGATCCACTTTAGACAAAGTTCATGTGAGAAAAATAACAGTGAGACATTGGATTTCCAGTTATTTTTTTGAGATCAAACTTGAACCCTTTTTGATTCACAGATTCTTCCTTTTTGTTGCTGTTGCCACTGCAATGTGTCAATTGTCTTCTTTTGCATGGATATCTTTATTTTGTTTAGTTAAAATTAAAATTTAGATAAATATGTTCTTTATATTCTATCGAGACTATATAATTGTCTAATTCTGGAGCATTTAAGTCTTTTCTTTTTGGATTTTAGGAAGATCAAGTTTTATTACTACACTTTTCATCTTCAACTTCCATGGTTGAGATGTTTTAATTTGGAATGAGTAGTTTCTATGTATCATCATAATATGATGGCATTATGATATTTTGATTTTGTTAACTGCGGCTCTTTATAGAATTGCTGATTTTTTAGCGTTGATACTATTGTTATGTCATGCAAAAACCCTTAATGCGAGGGGAATGGCGTACATGTAGTTCCGTGGAAAAATCAGGGGTATATCAGTCCGATCAGCTCGATTGAATCGGCCTTCCCCTTCCTTAGGCCGCCACGTCGGGGTTTGACTACCGAAGCCCACACAGATGACGGCTCCGGAGAACAACAAAGGTCAGGGTTCCAGAAATGCCCCTCCATCTCCTCTTTCGCGGAATGCGCCTCTCCCTCGTCGAAGACAACCCAGCTTCTGGTGATCACGGTTCCGGAATCCCCCCCTGCTTCCTTGTCTTCTCGTTCTCCTGCCTCCGCCTCCTCTTCTGCCTCTGTAACTGGAAAGTCGTCGACGAGCAGCTGCTCTAGTTCGGCCATGTCCTCCTCGGAGATGGACTGCACCGCAGGGGGCTCCGCCGCGTTGAGGACCCCGAGCGAGCGGCAGAGATCGAAGTAGGCCGCGATCTGCGAGTTTTGCGCCGCCGCCCGCCGCAGCACCCTCAGTCCAAGCGTTCCCCTTCGTTTCCTGTCTTCCGATGCTGGACTCCGAGTGGTCTTGGAGGACTTGGAGCCGACGATGCCCGCGAGGAAGTGAGAGATTCGGTCGCAGATGCTGCTGTAGACCTCGAAGATTTCGATCGCTACCCAGTCCATGGCCTCGAGGACGAGCCTCACGCGCATGCCGTCTGCGTATGGACGGATCTGCAACTGGTGGTCGAGGAGGGCCTGGAGGCGCTCGAGCTCCGAGAGGTCGGCGTCGGGCTCCGTCTCCTCCTCGTCACTTGGTCTGGCAGCAGGGATGGTCGTAAAGGTGGCGCCTTTGACGGGCTTTTGGGCGTAGAAATGGGAGCGGTAATCGAGGAAGCGGAAGTAGGCGCAGACGAAGGCGGAGAAGCCGGAGGAGGAAGACGAGCGGTCGCGGAAGTCCGAGAGGTCGAACGGGAGGCGACCGAGGCGAGCTGTGGGCGGCGCGTCGTCGGAGCACCGGAGAAGGCCGTGGGCAAGGAGGAGCGACTTGAGAGCCACTGCCCAGGAGCGGGTGCGTTCGGCGCGGCGGGCGATAATCCACATCGTCGGGTGGAGGAACGAGGAGGGGGCGGCGTTCGCCCACCCGAAGACGCGCCGCGCGCTCTTGTAATCCACTGAGCGCTCGTCGTGGGTCGTGGCCCGGATCACCTCCGCCTCCACCTCCGCCCTTCGTGGACCACCGGCGAGGTGGTCGCCGCGGGCCTTGGTCATCGTCGTCAAACAGAGGCTCTTTTTATCCTTAGCGGCCGCCGTCACGCGACGCCACCACTCGCCCGGCGACGTCATGGGGAGTGATCGCGGGCGAGAGCCAAAGGAAAGCTTTTTACGAGGAAAGCCGGACTAACTCAGCTAGAACATAGCTGTAGGTCTCCTCATTTCTCTGCTGAGCATGCTGGAAGGTGGGAGGAAGGAGAAGAATGGAGAACGGAGGGAATGCGGACGGCAGGAAGAATGGGAGGGTAGAGAAGACGATAGAGAGAGGAGGAGAAGAAGAATTGATCGGCGGAGGAGAGGGGACGGGCTGTGTCACGGTTGTCAGCACATCACGTATCGGCTGGAGTTACCTATTTGATGAATGCTTGACTGTCGCTTCCCTAAGCAACATTTAACGTCTCTCAATCTGATGGTGAAAGCCTTAAGCTGGGAGGATTAATCGGCGTTCATCAAAACCATCATTTTGACTCTCTCCCAACTCAAATTGCATGAAGAAATGCTTCAGGAATGCGCTCAGATAGATGTCGTCAATGTTCTTATTTAGCTGGAAGATCTAAGTTACGTTTATTTAGCTGTGGATGATTAGTAACAGCTAACATGCATTTGTATCATAAGAGCAGTAGTAGCTAAGATGAGATGCATCGCATGAATTCTCCGATCAAAGAAGATGGTGATCCATGGGACCTTTGTTGCCACAATCAAACTGATGACAGCCCATTGGGCCCCAAGTAGAAACAAGTTCATTTGGTCTAATAGATTGGATGATAATTCAGTTGATCGAACTAATTAGTTATATTTAACATTATATTAAGATCTTTATAATTAGAAAAGTGAAACATTTAGTTTGTTCTAAAATCAAATCTTTATAGAATAAATTTATATTCGTAATATTATATTTTTCACGTGTCAAAAAATGAAACTTAAATTATTCGAAGATAATTTTTTAATATATAAAATAAAATTTGAATGAATGATTTTTTTGTTTTCCTTTGGTGTATCCATACATACGTATCACCAACTTCTCGCTTCTTCTTATACTTAGGAGGCGCGTGCGTGCGTGCGTGCGTACCTTTACCGAGTCTTACACATGTACACATCTGTTGGGTTACCGGTCGTCTTATTCTTTGCGCCTCCTCTTCTTCTGCTTCTTCTTCTTCGTCTGTTGAATAAGCAAAAGTTGCGGCCGACCTGCCCCCACGAGGGCTCCTCTATTGGCAGTCCCTCCGCTGTTTTCTTCTCCTCCTTCTTTTTCTTTCTCTTCTCGGGGCGGAGACGACTCAGAGAAGGAAAGGGATCTATGTCTTCCGCCGCCACTCCACCTGCCCAAGCCACCGACGACGGCGGCGCAGTTCCACTTCCTCCTCCGCCTCCTGCACCACCGAACTATTGGTGCCACGAGTGCGACATGAGCGTCGCCCTACTTTCTTATACTTCTTCTTCCTCCTCCGCCGCCCTTTTCTGCCCCAACTGCCATGGCGACTTCCTTGAAGTGATGGACCACCACCACAACAGCCACAGCCAAAACCCTTCCCCCCTTCCTTGCCCTCCTCCTCCGCCTGGCCCCCCATCCCTGTCCCTTACCCTCTCTGACACCGATTCAGATGACATCGATGAGGCCGACGCCGACGACCGCCGCCTCGCCTCTGCTGCCTCCGCCCAGTCCTACCTCCGCCGCATAATGGATCACCTTGCCGCGGCCGATGACCCCCCGCCACCGATCCCAGCCACCCGCCGTGGCCCTTCTCCAGCCCCGGCCGCCTCCATCTACGCCCTCCCCACCGTCCGCATCTCCGAACCCGCCTCCTCCCTCCCAGCGTGCGCCATCTGCAAGGACGAGTTCCCCCTTGATTCCACTGCCCGACGGCTTCCCTGCTCCCACCTCTACCACTCCGACTGCATCGTCCCTTGGCTCTCCCTCCATAACTCCTGCCCTGTCTGCCGCTCCCGTCTTCCCTCTTCATCGTCCTCATCGGACGGGTCCAACGCCCTGAATCGCCCGACCCAGTTCTCAGCCCAGCTCGAACGCTTGTTGGAGGAGGATGATAGCCCGGCTTTGACACTTTTGCGGCAAATTGGGAGACGGTGGCACATGGCGGCTTCAGATCAGCCTTCGGCCTTGGAGACATCGCCGACACAGATGGCGCAGCTGGGGGCTGGACCTGCTAACAGTGGGGAGACTGTGTCGTCGGAGTGGCCTGTGGAACTCAGTGAAGCGTCTGTTGGAGGAAGGGTGGATGATGAAGGGGACACGATGATTTCTGCGAGTAGGGAGAACTACTTTTTTGATTGACTCATTGTGGATTGGCTTCTGCTACTAAGTTCGAAAATTGAGGTATGGTTGACTCTCTATGTTTGTTGCTCTTTGTGGAATTTTACTCTTTTTGGAATTAGGGAATTTGATAGATGATAATACTATGGGAGAGCGTGAGACTACATATCTCGTTTAGTTACACAGAGCTTAGGAGAGAAATTGATTTTCTTCTCGAATGCGATTTATTCTTTCCCTCCAAAATTGGAGCTTGGTAGAGAAAAGTTATATGTGCTATTTTTTCCTATTTATCTAAATAGGAGATGATAAATTGCTGACTCTTCTTAGCTTTTTGTAGGAGAGGAGAAATAGTCTACCCTTCTTAGCTTTCTATATCATTGCTCTTTTTTCCTTCCCTCTTTAAGTATCAAAGGCGTTAAGGTTAAATAATATGTTAAAAATATGTTCATTGTATGTGTTAGTTCCTTAGGATCTCCATGTACCACGTTGGAAGTAAAGTTAAATTGATAGTAATGTTCGGTAGCCATAGATCAATTATCTGTCTACTCAATTTAGAGTTGGAACAAGTGATTATAACTTCTACTGTTTGACTACCGGTACTCCGAGCATTATTCTCTGCCGATCCCAAGGATTTTTTTGAGGATATTGATAATCCTATGTGTTTGAATATAAATATGTAACAGATGTTCTTTATGATTTATGCAAATTGTAGCTTCTATGTTAAGAACATGAAAATATTTGGAAAATGGCGATGGTAACTGAAACTCATTGCAAGTACTCTTCATACACCTGATATCAACAGTTGGCCTACCATGGTTCCCTCCAAATTAATCATTTCTAGTCTCCTTGTTTGATGTCATTGCTATTGTTTTACTGGTATGACCGTATATTCAATATCATGAGCAACTGACTTAAGAAAAGATGATTGGAAGGAGTCCAAATGGTCATTAGAGTTACTATTTAACACTTAACCAAGATGTATGCAGGTTAATGGTGAGGAGTTCATTTACTTCCGACATGATAAAGATTTGCAACTTGGCAACAGATTGATGGGAGAGAATATTTTTTATATGAAGGAAAATATTTACTTTAAAATGAAAAAATTGTGAGACATTGAAGCAATTAACGAAGTCGATTATCCTGAAACATAACTTTTTGCAATATTGAACATTTGTATTTTTTCTAGGAATTGATCATGATGCCTTAAATTGTAAAGGATGGTGGAAGGGTTCCTAGAGTGATACAGTTTTGATGTGAACCTATTAGTCTTATCAGTGATTATATAGGCCTTAAACTTTCAGCCAAAAACATTCTTATTCCCATGTGAGATTGGGTAGTTAGAAGTCCTGGTCAGTTGCTCACAACATGAGCTACTAGGATACCTTGAACTTGGAAATGTCAAGGATTAAGGACCTTGAAACTCCAAGTTAGAAAACACACAAGCATGAAACCCCTAAACCAAACTCAAAAAGTGAAATCTATATTGGAACTTGAAAATCCTAGGTTGGAATTTGATCTCTGTTGGAACTTGGATCGATGCTTCAAGATTTTAATTCTCTTATGGAACATGACCTTTGAAGACTTGCAACCTTACGACCAACTTCCATGAAGTGTTGGAAGAGATTTGGGAGTAAAGATAGTTTCAATTCCCTCAATATTGACTCTGTAGTTTTCTTTTTTAGAGTTTTTTAATTCGTGGTGTTTGGTTCAGGATTTTGGAGGGTTAAATTGGTGGTTAAGATAATCCTCTCATCTCCCTTTGCAAGTTATAATCCAATTATTTAGCTATTTTTGCAATCAAATAAAGTATGAGGGTTACAGTAGTTAGTCATGTTGATTATCTTAACCTTAAATCGAGCACAGATCAACAATGGAAATAAGTAAATCATTCAACTTTTGCTTGGCAGCCACTCTATTGTATATTGTTATAGAACAATCTATATAGTCTTCCATTTTATAACATATTAAACTATGGATAATAACACTTGCAGGTTGTCCACATTGGTGGTGCTGAGCAGATGAATTCTCCATTATCCTATAAGTAGTGCATTTTTATGGGGTGTCCTTCTTCAACAACTCCGGAGAGTTACCATAAGATCAAATATACTGCACTTTTTATGTACATATGAACTGATTAGGTTTGGAGATCAATGTTGCCAAAACTCTTCTTTTACCATTCTCTTGCCAAGGTGTTTGGTAGAGAATGCCAATTATGAATCCTCATTCTTTCTAGGTCAGCACTTTGAGGTGCCTAAGTGCCTAACGATGGCATTGGATTAGGTATAATTATGTCAGAATATAGCATAAGTCCCTCCTATATGTTGGAGCTTTAGGTTTGTTTGGTATCTCACTAATGAAGCTGATGATCTTATGTGTAATAGGACTAATTTGCTAAAAAAAATTCGCTAAGTTCCTCGGCTTGGGTTTTCCATGACATGCTTCATATCTCATGTTAGGTGGGTATTTCATGCTTATGAAGAGGAGGGAAGGCCTTAAAAAAGTTCCATTCTTTTGCCCTTATACGTGAGGAAAGTGGGACCATTGGTTTCATCCTTATGAGTGGTCTAAATTTTTCAAGGAATCAGACCAATGTTTTCACAGTTAGAAGTGAGGAAAATGTAGAATGTTTATGAGATGTTCATTTGAATTTCTGGTCAATTGTATGAAGTAGAGTTTTTGATATCCCTCTGACCATAATAAACCTTATGAGGAAAATTAAAGTTTGAGAGCAATTCTGATAAATATATATGAAAGCAAAACAAGAGAGTCAGCCCAATTAGTTCCTCGCAAGAAGAAGAACTAGAAAAACATCCTAACTCTAAAAATCTATTATTACTCCTGTTGGGGGGCCAAACTATAGATTGACACTATTTAGTTAATGGAGAGAGGAAATACTAGACGTCAACGATTTCTTGTTAGGAGGAAACTAGGAAAAAGATAACAACGCAAAAGGTCATTATTCTCTCATTTTCACATCTGCGAAATGTGAATTTGAAGGCTTAGATTTGGTGATATAATAATTGTGTTTCTAGCCAGTGGAACTGTAGATTCATCTCTTAATTTGAGCTGGAGACAATCAAATAACATTTGGACTCCTGTTGCTGATTTCGTACAATGGTTGAGGCTCCCCATTGCAGTGGCTAAACCATGCACTTGATATGGTGGTGGCCTGGTGGGACCCATCAGGGTTCTGTAAGGCAAAACCTTGATGTATTTAGCCAAGGGAACACCACTCTTTTAAAATTTATATTGTACTTGAATGAAAACTTTACTTTTAACTTTTAAGAATGTGGTTTCTCTATGTTCCAGAATCTTATAGAGATGATAAGAAGAAAGGAATACAAATCTTATAGAGATTTGGACTAGTTCACATGCATTTTCTCTAAGGATTTTGCACACAATGGATTTATGTCTATTATGACCATATTTTAACATGCACTCTTCATATATTGCACACAATGGAATTCAGTGTGGATCACGATTCACACTGACATAGGTAGGTCTTTTGAAAGAAAAAGGATAAAATGAAGAAAAAAAATGAGGGAATGGAGGAAAACCAAGCAGATCTGTACATATTTCTAAAATATGTCTGTTTTTGCTTTCATAAAGACCTCTTCTCTTCCAGCTTGGACTGTATGGAACCACTGCTTGGACTGATTCCAGGATTTCGAGTCATTTGAACCCTAAAGGTTTACAAGTGGTTGTTCTCATAAATTGTTGGAACAATTAAATAATTAAAGAAGTTCAATATTTAAGAAAAAGTCAATATGTGTGCCAAAGCTTATGTATTTTATACCTTGTTTGCATAAAATGACATGCCTAGATAGTAAATACTTGTTTGTAAGCCTGGTATAATGCAAATACACTTTGAATTTTCTATAAATTCTTTACTGAGGTAAATGGTACTTGTCTAGTTCAAGTATTATTGTGAAGCTAGAAATGATACAACTTTCTATGTTTATGTGGAAAATGATACAAAATTTGGTCATTTACTCATTGGTTTGTTGCTACTAGTTTTGGACTTACCATTACAAACTAAAAGAGGGCATGTTAACTTTTTCTTTTCAATTGGATAGATAGTGGCATGCATTACTGGAATTGCCTATTTAAGCCAGAAATTTATTCTTTGATCTTGTCATTTGATTGGATAAGTGATGATTGGAGCATCTAAAACATTTGTTTAACTTAGACTGAATAAGTTCCCTTTCTTTGGACCAAAAGTTCTTAAGACTTGTTACATGTGGTTCTTGCATGAACATTTTGTCAAGTATGGTTAAATGTCTCTATGAGGACTTCCGATCTTAAATCTTGGAGTCATAGTCTTTCTCATGGCTTTTCTGACATGATGTTGACAAATATATGCTAAAAAATAGCAGGACTGGCTTCCTAATCTTGGAGAACATTCATAACTTGAATTTTAGGTAAAAATTATACAGTAACTTTTACTAAAAATAACTCATGTGGTAGCTTGGTCTGAGTTGTCCCTGTAAGTTGTTATAGATTTCGTCATATACTAGACACAAGTTTCTAGTCTATCCTAGGAGTCCTCAGGGACAGCAAGAATTTGTTCAAATGACCACTTTTGTCCTTTTTTTTCATTTTCTTTTTTGGATATGGTTTTTGGATAATGACTCATTTTGTAAATGCAGTAGTTCATCTTTGTGTTACAGATTGAGTGAGACAATGGCCTACATGCTTTTAAAGAGGACAACTAATGGCTAATCTTAGATTATCTTAGATGAATCCAATTGTTTGCTAGTTTACTGAGGTAATAGAAATTGGGGTATCTTCATGTCTACATTTGGTGTAGAAAGAAGAAAAGCCAGCTCAATGATTTTTTGGTTTTTTCCCCCTGATTACTATCTTTTTTCTCAGTGATACTCTTTGATGCTGATTAACTATAAGTCTATAACTCTCACCTTATATCTTGCTCCTACTCTGTGCACTATTAAAGGTTAGGCTTAATTGTTTATAAGCTTAGTAATGGAAATTTAACATAACGTCTGATGAACCAGCTTTTGGATCTTCACCAGTTTGTAAGATTTGTAGGAATTACTTCTTAATATTTGGAATTGTGATTTCACCTGTCTTGAACTGCATCACATGTATTAACAAGTATGTCAACAGTTTGTCTCTAACTAATCTTACAGAAATATATTCCATTCACATTATGGATGATCCGCTGATATATATGATGCATTTTTGTTGATTATGTTAATTTTCTACCAAGTGTTATAGAAAGAAGCTCCAGGTTTTGGAGATAGTGATAGATATAGTATGATACAACACAACCTGTGGAGAACTTGGGTAATTGCCTCATTGAGTAGGTTAACTACCATTCTGGTGAGGAACCAGCAGCATGGTCAATTCTTACAAAGATGAAAAAGCAATGTAGAAATTGCCTTTTTAACTTTTATTTATTGATTTGTCTTGAAATGAGAGCAAAAACAGCTGATTGTTACAGATTTCATTAATCAATTACACATTTTATCTAAGTACCTAAGATCTATGAAGCCAACTTCAAGAACGGCACTGCCTATTTGATATTTGCTACTCTATCATATGTTATGAATGCTGGGACATTGTTTCATTGCCTAATATATTCTTGGCAAATACTAAGCACACAATTGTGTAGTCTATGTTATCACTTTGCATCTTGTGCTATTAGACCAGCAGCATACAGGCAGCAGATGGCAGCTGACTGCCTGGTTCTGATCAGGATTTTATAATTACAACATTTTTTATGTACAATCATTCCTGAGATCCCAAGTTTAATCTATCCTCATCTTAGTGCTAAAATGAGCTGTGAGAGTTGTGTAATTCTTTATTAGGATTTTCCAGTATCTCATCTTTGTTGCTGAGTGCCTGTTTCTTGCATGCCATGTTTGATGCACTAGCACTTAGATTTGCATTCTTGCGCTTGAAAGTATCATTGAAATAACTTTACCTGTTATAGCTGAATGGTTCTTGCATAATGGCTGTAAGTCCTAACTCTTTTTTTTTTATGCTCTCCCCTTGTTTTTGCAGTTGTAGCTGTTAGAAAAGTCAGCATCGACCAACTATATCTTACCGTAATGGTTGTATAATTATGATTGTTCTGCGTGATGTTCTTAGCGCAAACAAAAGACCGATGACAATGATTGCCCTGATCATTTGTAGTTTTGTACAATTCTTGGACCTAATGTTTTAATCGACAGTGTACAGGTTATGTTTTTCTCCTCTATTGCGGTGATTGTACTCTGCAGTTTCAGGCATAAAATTGATCGTGGCGTCAAATGTTATGACTTCCAGTTGGGAACTGATGAGGCAAAGGTGTTTGCAATGACCGAGGGCAACTAGAATAAGAACCGTCTCAGGTAACTGCTATGCAGCCTTTGGTCTTTGTGATTACATCGTGTGGAGAATTGGAGTGAGATTGTGATAGATAATAAAACTCGATTTATTTGAGAATTATTTTTGAGGTGCAGCAGTGATGGATGGAAACTGAGACACACAAGTCACAGAGGATGAATTGGTCATCTTGACCATATCATTTGTTACACTTCTGGATGAAATAATTTTGGGTTACTCAAAAGATGTTCTGTAGTTGGATTGGATCGTGTTGTTGTTAAATGATGTTTTATGGTCGGGTTTGATTTCATCGTGATTAAGGGATACTTCATAGTCAAATTTGGTTGTCATTATCGAACGGTGTTTCGTGATAAAGCTTGAGATCGTATTGTGATCGTGGAATGCTTCTTAGTTGAATTTAGTCATGTTATCATGAAAAAATGCTTCGTGGCTTAATTCATAAGTAGATTTGATCAAATCACTATTGAATCATGCTTCACTTTGGGTTTGGTTACAACATGATCGAGGGACATTTCATAATTAGATTCAACTACATCGTCATTTGTTAGGGGAAATTGTCGTCGATATTTGAGTCAACCCGACGTAGTCCAAATTCAAGGGTGCAGGAGTGTTCAAAATGGTGACTAAGGAAGTTTTAAGGTGGAAGTATTGAGCTCTCGAAGCGCCACCTACACTAAGATTGATTTCGAGAGAAAATTTTTGACCTAATCCCTTGGACACTTAAGTTAGTGACCGAGGTCTCTCAGTGAGTGTGGGTTTTTCTTGGAAAGAGAGACCTTGGCATGGGGATTAGCTTTTATACCCGACCTTGGAGGGGATAATTTGTAGCTGTTCCAACATCCCTATTTTGACGTTTTGTTCATATGGGTGATAAGGGGGAGACAAGCTCGAACGACCTGCTTTAGACTTTTGTCCATGCTAACAGATGAGTGGTGGAGGGTGACCTGGATCATTTCCTTCCATGATTGTTTCTACGTGGTGCTTATGTGTCATGTGATAGTTGTTAACATATTTTCTATCATTTATCCCTCGCTTGTGCTTCAGAGCTCTTATTAGAGGGGTACAGAGTGCAGTGTTTAATTTATCCGATATGCCCATTGCCAACCTATCCTTTTGTGGGGTTAAAAGGACACGTTGGTCATGTGAGGGTCGGGTTTTCCTGACTCATATGCCTCAAGCATATTTCGCCCTATGACACATTAACGTATTTCTCTTGGCATGGATTGGGTTTTCCCGACTCACATGCCCCAAGCACATTTCATCTTGCACCGCCGCTGTAGTAGATTTTTTTAGCACGGGTCAAGTTTTCCTAGCTCATACACCTCAGGCACATTTCGCCTTTGTGCCGCCATAAGGGATTTCTCTTGGCTCGGGTCAAGTTTTCCCAACCCACACGCCTCGGGCACATTTTGCCATACGCCTCTATTGTAGCGGATTTGGCGCAGGTCGGATTTTTTCGACTTACATGCTTTGGGCACATTTCACCCTATGCCTCCACCATTGTAGATTTCTCTTGGCACGGGTTGGGTTTTCCCGACTCATATGCTTCAGCCACGTTTCGCCCTATGCTTCCACCGTAGCAGATTTCTTTTAGAGAATGCTAGGTTTTCCCGACTCACATGCCTTAAGTATGTTTTGCCCTGTGCTTTCATCGTAGCGAATTTCTCTTAGTGTGAGTCAGGTTTTCCCGACTCACACACCTCGGAAACATTTCGCCTTACGCCTCTATTATAGCATATTTCTCTTGGCATGAGTCGAGTTTTCTTGACTTATATGCCTCAAACACGTTTTACCTTATGCTTCCGTCATAGCCAATTTCTCTTAGCGCAGGTCAGGTTTTCTTGACTTATACACCTCGAGCATATTTTGCTTTGTACCTCCAATTATAGTAGATTTCTCTTGCCATAGGTCGAGTTTTTCTTGTTAGGATCGAGAGCACTAAGAGGGGGGGGTGAATTAGTGCAGCGGAAATCTTTCAGCGATTAAAATCGAAAGCTGCGTTCGTTCGATAAAAACTATTTTGATGCAAAAGCCGATTCTAAGATTACTTATGATTAAGTACAGTTTATGTCTAAACACAGTTTGTGTCTAAGCGTAGTTTACGCAGTTTGCATCTAAATGCAGTTTGCGTCTAAATGCAGATTGCGTCTAAGCGCAGTTTGACGCAGTTTGCGTTTAAGCGCAGTTTGCGTCTAAGATCAGATTGCGTCTAAGCGCAGTGCAGTTTGCGTCTAAACGCAGTTTTACGTCTAAACACAATTTTACGTCTAAACGTAGTTTTACGTCTAAACGCAGTTTGCATCTAAACGCAGTTTGCATCTAAACGCAGTTTTACGTCTAAACGTAGTTTTACGTCTAAACGCAGTTTGCGTCTAAACGCAGTTTTATGTCTAAACGTAGTTTTACGTTTAAAAGTAGTTTACGTCTAAAACACAGTTTTACAGGAATCTGAACTTAGAAACTTCGTTCGTAAAAACGCAGAAGACAGTTTTGCAGAATCAAAACGTAATCGTAAACTGTAATGTATGAAAACACCGATTTACGTCTGAATGCAGATTCGGAAAGATCAGCACTTAGAAACTTGTTCGTAAAGGCGCAGAGAGCAGTAGCTATGTAGGAGGTTTGCAGTAATGATAAAGTGCTCAAAATAAACGCAAACCAGAGATTTAGAGTGGTTTGGTCAGTCTGGACCTACTCCACTTTTGGCTTCCTCCACCGACGAGGTCACTGACGTCAACTAGAGGCCTTCCTTCAACAGGCGAAGGCCAACTGCCCTTTTACA